TACTAGACAGACATGCTAACCACTCATCATGCACTATTGTAACTTTACCCCAGAGAATATAAAGAAAGTCTACTAAATTGATAGAGGTATTTTTAAATGCTATAATGTTTAAGTTACTATACATAATTCATTATCATGTTTTTCTTTTAAAAAGGAGAGTACATACTTCAAGGCTCAATTTTGATCAGATTTGTATCTGTGCCACACATTTAAATTATTCAAATTTAATGAGTATGGTTTGTGTAGTGGAAAATGAGGAAAGCTCCTATTACATCATGAGAGATCAGTTTTTTTTTTTTTTCCTATTTTATTTCATTCAGACCTTTAAAGCCGAGGGGAGACGTGAGGTCACATGTTTTGAATTCTTTTACATATGCCTGACAGAGGCAAAAGGACCCCCCTCATAGTTTACTTTTGTATAATTGCATTATGGTAGTATTATGTAGTCCGTTTAGATGCAAACATTATTTAATGAGACTCTTTTTTGAAATACAGCTTCAATTATTGTCCCTTTTAAAGCACTGTGGGTAAATCAAGAATGTTGACAATGTATCGGAGAATCCACAACTTATAGCTGTAGCAGTGACATGCATTTGTGCTTCAGTAAGGAGAAGGAATCTCGGGTCTGTTTATGAAGAGCTGGCTGTTTATTAAGACATCTCAATATGCAGACTCACGTATAGAGGACATCCTTGACTATAACAGAAAAATATGTGCATGTTATAGCCACTTGAGAAGTTGTATAAGGTCGTAAAATATGCAGGGGGATGTTTAATCTTTAGCTTAAAATAGTTTTAATGGGAACTGTGGCCAGGCTGTGGAGTTTTAAATGTTCACATATTCTTAAGCAGCAAATGACCTTTAAAACAAGCCATAACTGACCTCTCTAGCTGCAGACAAGGAGGAGCAATTCAAAATCAAACCGATTCCCCCGTTCCAGCAGTAACTTAGTGGCCTTCTAGCATTCCAATGTCTAATGTAAACACAGAGCGGGTGTTCGGGTATGGGGGAACAGGGAGAGCACGGAGAGCTAAGCTGCTGAGAGAGCAGACTTAGACTGGCTTTACATGTGTTTCTGCAATGTGTTACCACACCGCAATTCCACAAGTATGAAAAAAAAATACTGCAGGTACATTTTCTTGTTCACTCTGGCAGCCTCTTTAAAAATATGGAAATGATTGATTCCATAGCATGGTCAAAGGTTTAGCTGAGTAACCCTGCCACATAACAGTTAAATAGAGTGACCAAGAGGTTCCTGCAGGTATAGTTTTCCTACTTCCTTAGAGCCTCATGTGCTCCAGATATCAGTGTACTCAATATACAAATACAACTTCCAGCTTGTAAGTCAGAGCTCAGGTATGCCCCCTCTCAACTGGTGAGGCTCTCTGCATTACACTTAGGCCCCGTTCACATTGAGCGATTTATCGCGCGATTTCGCTCATATTTCCGCACTATATCGCTCCATGTAGCTTCACCAATACATTTCAATGTAGCTGTTCACATCTCGTCGCTCAAAATCGCTCAATATCGCTTGTAGCTTGTCGCTGCTACATGACCCTTTTTTAGAGCGATTTTGAGCGATATTGCTCCTGATTCTACACAGTATATCACAGAAATCACTGCGCTGGGAATGCGTGCCTAACTACCTGATTGGACCAGCCGCAACAATGTGTATAGGTGAACAAATGTAAAGCAAATATGTTGCGCTCGGTCTATGTGAACCAACTGCACACTAAAGTGTTAATAAACAAATCTGTGTAAAAATTACAACAATCCGTGTGAAAAAATTGATTCAAGTGGATTATTTACATATGACTAGAAGGTTCAACACACAAACATAATAAGAATAATAAAAATCAACACTGGAACCTTCAGAATTAGAGAGAATGGGGGAAGTTCTAATATGAAAGCTGTCATTAACATAATTGGGCACATCTGATATTTTTTATTTTTCTTTAGCTCCCATGGAGAACCTCCCATGGCTTCCAATACCATCTCTATGCTGATGATGATAGAGATAGATATAGATATATACACACACACACACACACACACACAGTACTTCTCCACTCCACAGATCACCCCTTTGGTGTCCTTCCACTTCATTAATTTACTAACTTAGTCTGGATGTCACAACACTTATTAAAACTCAGTCTTTCAAAACCTGAGCTCATTATATTACTCACCTCCCCGTAACTTTTCCTTTGTGATTGAAAGCACAACTATTCCTTCTTCCCCCCATGCCAAGGTGCCATGTGTAATTCTTGACTCTGACCTCACCTTTCAGCCTCACATTCAATCACTATCCAAATTCTGCTGCCTTCAGCTGCATAACCTCTCCAAAATACACCCTTTCTAACCAATAAAACTACAAAAGCTACTCATCCACTCACTTGTTACTCCCCTCTCTCGTCTTGACTATTGCAACTCCCTCCTCATTGGCCTTCCACTACACAGGCTATCCCCCCTTCAGTCTAGCATGAATGCAGCTGCCAGACTCATCCACCTAGCCAACCGCTCAGTGTCTGCAACCCCCCTCTGCCAAGGCCTGCACTGGATTCCAATCACCCAAAAGGATAAAAATCAAAATATTAACAACCACTTACAAAGCCGACCACAACTCTGCCCCCGGCTATATTTCCAACCTTGTCTCACAGTATCACCCTAACTGTCCTCTCCGTTCCTCCAAAGGCCTCCTGACCTCCTGCTCCCTTGTCAAGTTCTGAGACAGGTCATAGCATATGATTTTAGATGGCATGTATGACAGCTGAGTTACTAAAATAAATATGTAGACAAAGTGCACCCAGCAGAAGAATATTATATGCTGTATCTCTAAATCGGCCCACGTCACTGCAATGTCCATGATTACTGGGAGCTCAGTATTCTGTGGAGGGGCACTCGAGAGGGTATAATCTAAGCAAAATCAGGTTTGTTTTTGTTTTTTGTTTTACAAATGCTAGGCCACCTATGGATTTTATTTTGCTTCAAAAGGTGGTGTTGGTCTTTAAAATTCCTTTTCTGCTTAGATACAGCATTATAAATTGAATCAGTGGTCTTACCCCCTTGATGCATTACCCCTAGATTGTACAGACATTAAAATATTCATTTTCGCAAATAGTGCTCTAACACTATTGCGTGTTGTAGAACAAACACGATCATGCAGATCTCTGAACACCATATAATTCATCTATTGTTAACTGGTTCCTTATTTTGATTATAATATTGTCAAATATAGATAAACTTTTTCATTTTAAGAGGTTTTTTAACAAATGAGAAATACTAATTTTCCATGTTTCCAGTTAACAGAGAATCCTGGCAAACACCAACAAAGCTTAACAGAGCAGAAGTCTGGAGACAGGTGTGTGGAAGAATTTAACATTAGCCAATTAAATTGTTACCAAGTACTAAGTAAATGCTTCTGTATGACCCTCCAGAAACGATTTAAAGAGGTTTGACTCTTGAAACCAAGTCAAAATAGCTTGGGCTATTTCTACCACCCCAAAAGTAGACTGCAGGAAATACATTAATTTTCTGGGTTTTTTTTCCATTAAATACTGTTCCTCTCAACTTGTAAAATGTAACACCCCCCCGCCCCCCGCTACATTCCAATTTCTTTTTATTCTTTTGTGTTGAGTTGGGAAGGGTTAGAAATTTTTGTCAGATTTTTATTGCCATCGGTGGCCCTGTTGAGGAGATCTTACATTACCATTTGTCCAGGTGACTATTCTCACCTGAAGACAAATCATGTGTAAACTGATCCCTGCAAAAAGCTCCAAGTGACAGTTACTTGCCTCAACTCTATGTTCTGTTTATCAGCAGATCTGTTCTAGTAATTAGTTTACTGATCGCGGGCAGATGACAGTTCACACACAAGGGTATATTTGACATTCTCAAAAGCAATGGGTAAAATCTTACTCAACTGTTAATTATTTATCACAACCAAAAATAGCTAATTTCTGCAAGAACCTTACAATTAACACTAGCCAGAAAGTTACGACATGTTAAGAATGCCATATGATAAAGTGAATTTGCAACGTTTAACATCCAACATACTGCAAAAACTGATAATAGCATGTGGTAAAATCAGATGTTCTAAAAACACAACTTTTATCATATATGAAGTATTAAAACGGTGTCCATACCAATATCTGTAGCAGTAGGTTAGGTTACAGGAAGCAATTCATTAAATTGTAGCTGTGATGATTACAACAGGTCATCCTAGAACAAAAGAGTAAAGCTGGCCATATACTGAATGAATTTCAGCCCGTTCTTAAAGAGGCCAAAATTCACGCAGTGGGTGGCCCTGTTGGTAGCCTCCCAGCCAATATTCTTTGATCAGAAAATCAAAGGAACTGGGTGGAAAATTCACTGTACCCATCACTGTGATTTGCAGCATCAAAAACCAATAGTAATGCATAAAAAAAAAAAAATAGGAGGGTCAGGCCAGAGCCATTGACCGCAAAAAAGATTGTTGAATATTTAAAAATAATATTTAAGGCTACCGTGCAGTCTGACCACAGGTTCAGGACTAAAAATATTTTAATGGAGTAAATATTAGCTATTATATATGAATAGTTTCTATTTACCATCTGCAACCAACAATTAAAATCAGATTTCCACCACCTTTGCAGTCTTTTTACCACTTTCTGTGAAAACGGTTTATTTGATCTGATATTGGAAACACACCTACAACTGAATGACTGAAAAGACACACAGCTACATGGTATTGATATTTTAAATTAGAAGGAGAAAGTGAATAGCAGCTGCTGGGCTTTCTTGTTAGAAAGCCCAATATAGTATACAAAGATTGTATCATAGAAGCAATATAGTAAATAATTTTAAAGAACTGTTAACTTGTAAACACTGAAAACATTTTCCAAATACAATTGACCAAAACCCATATAACTATGGAACATACTGACATTAACACCACCCCCACCCAAAAAAACACATCTTAAATAAGAATTATACAGAATAGTATAGAATAAACTCTGACATACGATGGGCAGAGATATTGCTTCTTCTTCCCCTTCCCTTTTTTTGATGACTTCTCTTTAGAATGCACTCCATCCAGCCAAAGAGAAAACAGGAGTAATGCCAAGATCCCCAAAACGAACTTCATCTCGATGCATTAATTTCAGCACAACTGACCTACAAAATAAAATTAGTAATTAGTGTATAACAGTATAAAATGGATGTCTCTGTGGTGTACAGGTCATAAGTACTCTTGGAATAGCATGTAGCATGAATAATAACTTTTTTAGTAAAGGGTCAGTAGATTGTTACACAGTTGGTTCTGAAGTATTTTTGGAGTTTTTAGGAAAACTATATTTAAAACGTAAACCTCCCAATTGTTCCACCATGCTTTCAGGTAGAGGAAGCTTGCATCCGAGATCCTCTTTAGTTCCCCTTCACAGGTGCTTATGACCTTCTTCTGACCTGGATTTGACATCCTAAGCTGCGTTATGCTGCTTCGTGCCACCGATTTCTAAAGTCCACTAAAGTTTCCATTTCTAAAGTCCACTAAGAAATGGATACCAGTGAGAGATGCAGGGGACACAGGGGATGGACACTCCAGAAAGTGTTGGTTTCTCAGCAGAATTTGATTACCATTTATCAGGAATGTAGCAGTGTTCCGCGGCAAGGATAAGAGATGCAAGTGTATGCATTCTACTTTTAGGCCTCATTCACATTACCGCGCATATATACACGCGTAGTGTACCGTATGCAAATAAATGGCTCCATACACATAGCCGCGTATGGAGCCGTGTATTTGCGTAGTGTAAAAATGCGCAAAAACAGAATGGAACCGAGATGCGTCCGGGCAGCGTATTTTTCCACTCAGCCCTGAGATTATGGCTGGGTTCACAGCTGGGCGTACGGAATATGCGCGTTTGCCACGCGTTTCGTGCCACACCTTTTTACAGAGATTTGCGGTAAAAGAAACGCGTGACAAACGCGCGTTTATGTTGGGCTATCCGGCTGTATCCTAATGGATACACGCGGAAAATACGCCCCAAAGAAGCTCCTGTACTTCTTTGGGCGTAGGGCGTTTTTCAGCGTGTTCCTACGCGCTGAAATACGCCCAGGTGGGAACCATGCCCACAGGCAATTATTGGTTTTCACATGCTGAGCGTTTTACAGAGTAGGAACGCGCTGTAAAACGCCCAGGTGTGAACCAGGCTTTACACAGCCCTGACACAGAGCACAGCCTGTTTGGTGACCACATTTTTATCTGTTCTACTCCAATAGCTGGGTGACCCCCTGCCCGTGAGTGGACAGTGAAGTAGCATTAAGAGTCTACTAAGGTTGTTTCCTCTGCTCTCTCCTCCAGTTAGCATGTTCCCTGTCAGCACATACATCACCACTGAGTCCTCTAGTGATGTGGAGGTCAGAAGATGGAACCACGGTATGCGTTACAGGAAACATGCATCCAGTACTCTTGGAAATGTCAAATGCCGAGGAGGCATACAGGGGCTGCAGCTCTAAAAATTAAGGGCAGGTAGGAGACACTGGCCACCAGGAGGTGAGTACAAGTACTCTTCTATTGCTAGAGCCTTTAATATGGATTTAAAACCATACAGGATCACTTGATTGTTGACCTAACCTAATAAAACGCAACTGCCAGCTTTCCCCATTAACCTAACCGTAACTTTAAAAATGGCCCAACTCCAAGGATTGGTTTTTTATTTATTCCCTGCCCTTACCACCTTGGGTTAAAAAAAATCCCAAAGCAGTACTCCAGCACTACATTCCTTCTACTCATTCAGTCCTGCCCAATGCACGTCTCCTAATTGCCTTCACAATTAGAAATCCCTGCAACAGTCCTTAGATGTCAATCAAACCCTAACCAATCCTTACGACTTTTGCAGAGACCTTCATTTTGAAAAATGAAAGGTTAATATCTTCTTTATCTTCTTTGCACTAAAATAAATAATTGTTACTAGTATCCATGGGTACTGGAACTGAAATACATTTGTTTGAAGACATGTTTGAAATCTGGCACCAAAATGTTTGCCCCAGATACAACTGATCTGCTTCCTTGACCTAGATATTACCACATTTGGTTGAGCCATTAAAAAGTATTAATGTGTCCTCCATGAATTCTACCTTCATTGCTAAAAAGAGAAAAAAATGTAAGCTCCGGACATCAGGAGCTTACATTTTTCTCTTTTTAGGAGTGAAGGTAGAATTCACTAAATAACCTTGTTTAGCTGAAGAACAAAGTAATGGTGGAAGCGAAGACAGGTGGAGAAGGAATTCCAGAAAAGAACTGTTCAAAGTTGCACGGGCCTCAGTCTGCCAGTTCTTGCATTTTTTTTAGTGAAATATCACAGAATTGTGCAACATATGATACAGAAGCCTTATTTTGACCAGTTGCTCTCACCATTTCCTAGCACTAAAATAAGTTCATAATATCAGACAATAAATTAAACCAACTTTCTTTGTTTGCCAATTTTACAACATACAGCAGTCTGAAAAGCTAATGAATCAGATGTATTTGTCTGTAGAGACAGTGTTATGCATCCCAAGCATTCCTGATTTTCTTTGCTCTGTATATGTCCAGCATAACAGTGGGTGCTATAAATCCTTTGCAAAATGGCAAAAACTTCTAGCACTGGCATTGGTAAAGTAATAAATATAGGAGTGTCACACACAAAATGAAAAACCAGCAGGAAGCAGAAACTAAAAGTATAACTCTGTCTATGAACAATACAAGCAGTCTTATTAAAAAGGAGAACTATGAGGTGAGTGCTTTTCACTCACATCATAGTTACAATTTTTTTCACTGTTAAAATGTTCACCTATCAGGTTTTGTATACACCTGAAATTTTATTTATCTATCTTATCTATCTAAGAAAACATAACTAGAAACAATTGCAGGTAAGTTTATTTAGTGTTAATTACACTACCCATAGTTATGTCCTTTCCAAGTAAGTGTTCTCTGAATACTGTGCAAACAGCACAGCAGTACTAAGGTATTGGTTCAATTCTTCCAGTCCATGCACTCTCTGCCTAAGAAGTCTACAGGGCAGCTACTTGCAGTGACTAATTCTATACATAAAATTAGGGGTGCACCGATACTAGTATCAGTGCCGATACTGAGTATTTGGTACTTGCGCAGCAGCAGAGGGCGGGTGCAATAGCCAGCTCGCGATTGTAACAGTCGACGGTTATGTCTAATGCGGATCTCAGCTGCGGAGTGTGTGTGAAGTGTAATGTTTGGGCTCAGTTTTGCGGAACCCCAATGCACTCAGTACCAAGGGGAACCGTTACACATCATATACCCCTATCCCTATGTGGTGGCGATGTATTACCCTGATTATAGGAGGCAGCAGGATCTGGAGCTATCAGTCTCTGTAGTGTGAAACACCTCTCACAGTACATCAATCCAGCAATACGGTTCTAAGTAATTGGTGCAACATCATATTATAACCAACTTGTTTCCTTGCACAGTTCATCAACTTAATTTTAGTATGTATGAAAGGAGACAGGAGGTTTGAATCTGTGTAGCTCCATCCTGAATCCCACTACAGCACAACCAGCTTAGTGAGTAGTAGTAACAGCTGGGAATTATCCCTTTACTTGCGTTTGATTGAACTCTCTGTAGACAGCAGGGAACAACTGTGGATGGTATCACTATTCAAGATGAGTTGTTGGTACGGCTTCAGGATGGACCTAGGACAGGTTCGTTTGGTAATGGTGGGAGGCAGCGATGGAACAAGGCTATTACTTCGTGCAGTAATGCAGTCTCTGTTTCAGTACAGCGAGTCACTCGCTCGACGATCCAGAACGATAGTACGCCGAGTGAGTGGCTCAGCTGTGCTTTTAAGGAGTAGCTACGGCCGGGGGGGGAGGAGTCGACCGTGATGTCACGAACGGACCGAACCCTCCGACACGGAGCTCTGAACCGTGTGGGTCTATGACAGCGATTGGATATTGCAAATTGAAATAGCCTATAGGAATCTAGCTATGCATTCCTATGCTATCCTGTGCTATCTGCAGATGCTTCCTGTGCTATCTGCCATCATTTCATGGGGGTGATCCCCCACCTCCCTGAAATGAGTTGGGATCCCTGGTGTTGGTGTGCGCTGAAAATAAGTAATGCATGCTACATTTTTACACAGCCACTGCAACATACAACGTGCTAGGAAGCACAGAAACTAATTACATTTTCTCCACAATAAAGTTATCAAAAAAAATAAATATATAGTGTGATGTGTTGTAACAACGCATTGAACAGACCCTACAAAACGCATACCATCGGGCATGTTATTCGGGATTATAACACTTGCTGCTGATGTGAATGGTCCCTTACATTTGCCTTTTCCTTTAATGTGATTTAACACCGGTCAACAAAATGATGAGGCCAGTGCAAACGTATTTGTTTACATTCAGCCTGTCTGCAATTTCCACTGATTTTGCCAGTGTGAAGTTTGCTCTGTTTACATTCAGGCCCGGTTCACACCTGGGCGTTTTGAACGCTCTGCAAAACGCTCAAACACCGAAATCCCATTATTTCCTATGGGTAAGGTTCACACCTGGGCGTATTACAGGCCGTATGAACACGCTACAAAACGTCCTACGCCCAAAGAAGTACAGGAGCTTCTTTGGGGCGTTTTTGTCGCTCGTTTCCATTGGGATACAGCCAAGTAGCCCTCGAAAAAGCGCGTTTGTCGCGCTTTTTTACCGCGAAATGCGCGACAAACACGCATATTCGATACGCCTAGGAGTGAACCCAGCCTCAATGTTTCTATGTCTGCACTGTAATTGCAAGCAAGAAGAACGAGGAGGGCATCTACTTCAAATATTTGTTTGATTAAGTCTATGGTTACTACCAAGAACCATAAATAGTGATTTCTCTAGTGCAATGCGCTTGTGTTATTAAAGTACATTACAAAATGGTACTGCAGACATGCCTTGTTTAGCTATAGTGAAATAGCAAATTTTTCCAGACCAGGACTGAGACCAAGGAAAGTGCCACATGTGCATTCTGCTTCCCTTGATTGACTGTCTGACATCACAGGAGAATAGGCCGGGCTTACATAAATCTATGCGGCAGCTACCTTCTAAGAAGACTGAGATCGGTTTGTCCAGCGGTTACATGAGTACAGTGTGTTATATATGTCATTATCTATGGCTTTAAAG